ATATATAAATCAAGAGATCATTATAATTGTAGATATGGTGCATCATTAAGTTATTGAACACTGCTCAGAACTATGGAAGTAAATAAAGATCATAGAAAATCGGTTGAGTGAAAAGTGCTTTATGACTCTTCATTAAGTAAATGTGTTTACCTTTTCTTTAATATAAGTTTTCTAAGAAGCAAATTGGTATTTATTTTTAGTTTATAGAGTACATAACATAGTCCACTTTAACCATGCAAACTCTAATGTGCTGATAGGAAATTATTTGGCACGAATTTAGAAGCAATAGTAATTAAAGATGAGAGAGAAGAGAGAAATCTTATTATAGGGAGAAAACAAGGAAGGAAGACAGAGGCTTTCAAAAGCATTAACAATCACCTACCAGTTCCACTCGTCCGAAACCTCCAACTCCGAGGGTGTCAATGATGTTGAAATCAGACAGCTTCAGGTTGGCGAAGAAAGCAGCTTCAGCTTCATATCTGGATTTTTTGATGCGAAAAAATGGAAATTTCTTAGAGGTGCAAACACGAGTACCACGTACAACTGTAGCGGAATGACATGACTGTGGAACAGGGTTTACCTGCTTAAATTCCATCTTGCTTTTAGAGTCTGTGTTTTCTCACACTCATAATTTCTTTTTGGTCCCAGTAGTGCAGAATAACATAGATTCGCACTTGTTTTTCAAAAGAGAAAAATACAAAGTACCCACTGCCTGCCAGTCATGTGACTGATAAATCCAGTTATCAAATCAAAGTTACATCTTGGTATTTTTCTACGCGTCTTCTTGTGAACGTGGATTGTTTGAGTTCTTTCTTGGTTTTGTTTTGGATTTTTTTGTTTTGCTTGGTTTTGTTTTTGCTGTTCAGATTTTGGATGGCAGTTTCTCATTAGTTTCCCTTATCCACAGGCTGGCAGTGGCTCCTATAAATATTTGTTAAAAGCAGCAAAATCTTTGAGGTCTCTGGAGTGAAATAAAGGCCAGGTTTTATAAAAACAGATCCGAAAAGCTGAGGACTGATGTGCAAGTGTCAGAAATGGATGATTTCGGAAGCATATTTACATTCCTAAAAAGCGTCTTCTCTTCATTTACGTTTACACACTGACTCTCAGCTAGTAATCCCAGTGTCTTTATATTTGCAAGTTTCTTATATGAGTGGTGCGGAAAAGCATGGACTATGCTCCAAAAGTCTAACTATGCGCACATGCAAATCTGACACATGCAAGTGGCCAAAATAAGCTTCTCTTGATGAGACAAGTGAATATGAGCTACTTAAAATATCTCCTTGTTAAAGGCCCTACTATTTTTAGAAAGGGCAGGAAGGCATAAAGATGAAGATGATCCTCCCACTTACTAAAGTCAGGTCAGGGAGTAATTCAGCTGTCTCAAAAATAAAGTATTTGAATAGCTATGTGTAACCCATGACCTTCGGCCAGGCAGTACCTGATTCAGTATTATGCTATAGATAGACATGATGAACACACTTGAGATGATGATACTAACACAGCTTATTTCATATGTCAATTATGTCAATTTTTGGATAGAATCATCCACAGCAGTAAGTGGTATAACATTTTATCTATTCTGTTGTAATCGAACACAAATTTAGACCTCAAACTTGGGAGAAATGTGAAACAGCTTTCTAGGTGAGCTTTCAATATTCTCCACTTTACAGCCATAGTTCTAGTTTTTAACAAGTCAGTCACAAGTCAGACTCATGTGAGGGTAAAAACAACACTGTTTTTCATTACTGGTTAATTATATGAAATCAACTCCCTCTAATAAACCTCTATAAACAAGGCTACTGGTCAATCCTAATGGTATTTGTAGACTTCTCTTGTTAACTGCACAATCAAGAGATCAACATAGTAATTCAAGAGATGGTTTACGAGAATGGAAAATAGGCAGCAAATGGGCATTTCTAGCATTCCAACTGCATCACTACTTTTGGAAAATTAAAACTCCATCCAATTTAAAGGGCCAGTGGCAGCGTTCACTCCAATAGGTGCTTAAAAAGGACATCTCTTGGGATTAGAACTCCTGACAGTTTGGATGTGGTCAAGTATTTCTTGGCAGTCTAGATAATCAAATTCTTAATGAGATTGTTTTTGAATAACATCCTATGTATTTGCTGGATTTAGAATCTCAGATATGAAGAAGGTAAGCTCTTTCAGACTACTTTCATACTATTTTCTATATTTAAAGTATAACATTATTACTTATAGCTTTTGAGGATACCCCAAAATTCTTATATTTGGGCTCTTTGAAATTAGGCTGGAAATATTAATCAAATGATATTCAGATTTTTGTTGCATATCAGAATGACCTGAGCATCTTTTAGAAACCACTTAATTTGGGGCCCCCCACAGACATAGTGAATCAGAAATCTCTGGAAGTGCTACCCAGATGCCTGTATTTTTTTTAAAGCTCCCCAGTTGATTATAATTCCCAGTAAGGGTTGAGAACCATAATTATAACCCCTCTGAAAGCCTCAGGAAGTTCCAAAAACCAGAGAAGAATTTTGAGATGGATTAAAATGGTCCAGGGAAAACAGCAGCTGCCCAGTTAGTCTAAGGGGTGGTGCATCCAGGCCAAGAGTGTTGGGGCTCTTATAACTTGTCTGGTTCTAGACTCATAGGAATGAACAACAGTTCTACAATGGCTAACACAGCTGTAAACAAACAAACAAACAAACAGCAACATTGCTAAAAGACAGATATACAATGCAAAAGATATAAGGCAGTTACTTCGTATTCCCATTTTTACAGCAAATCCTCTCTACTTTTTTTGTTTATATTCACTATCTGATTACTGATGGTATTTTAACTAATGAGAAGTCATATTAAATCTCATGTTAAATAAACATTTTCTATGTAGCCATTAAAATTCACTTAAATATATACTGTCCCATACATTAGAAGCAGCAATTAGTTAAATATTTCATGTGTTTTAATGAAGAGAGATTGGTGACATTATATTCATACTTTGCTAATCTTTGCTAATTACTTTGTTAGTATTACTATGTGATTTTTTTTTTTTTTACTATGTAAATTTTAAAAATTCTATAGAGTCAGGTGATTTTTTCTAGTGATCGGTTAGATACAATTCGAAGGGGTTTTGAGACAATTGTGCTCTTCATCTTCCATTGTGTTCCTATTTGTTTCAGGTCCTGATTCTTGGGGAAGTCAAATAATATAGGAATACTGCCAAACCAGTTCTTTTTCCAACAACAACAAAAAAGGTCAATATTTTATATTTATATATTTTTCTCATTTAAATTACTCTTTAGGAACAATAGTCATATCATCATCACAAAATCTCTATACATATATACTTTTTGAATTAATAACTTTTTAAAACATAGACATAAAATGAAGGGACCTTTGTAAAAAAGCTAAACTGTGGATGATTTAGCTTCTTCAGGTATCTAACCACTTTTGCTCAGAACTTGGAGGGAAATTTTCATTCTTTCTTTTAACTCAGGAATTATTTATAGATAATTTCAATTCATCAATTATGTTCTACTTTCTTTAGAGTTGATAAAAAGCTTGAGTGGGAAAGGAGACTAAATAAATTGGTTAAGTTAGTGGCCATTGCCTTATTAAGAAAACTTCTTTGGCTAAAGGAGATAAATGTAGAACCCAAGTTCCAAACTTACTACTGCTAGGTACCAGGTCCAGGGAATTCGGCCCAGTTTCATGCAATTCTAAAATCTGTCTGTGCAACAGTGTTTATGAAAGGGTCCATTGCCAAGTCTAAAAAAATACTTCAGGAAGACACAGTTCTTGATTTTGGTTACTTAAAATCTATCAGGGAACATAAAATATAGTTTCTAACAGTCCTTAATTTAGTTTAAGATACTGATTCTTTAAAAAGCCTGTTTGTTTGTCTATTTAGCATGAGGTGAAAGCTATGGATCCTCTTCTCAGAAAAGTATAAATATTGACATATCCTTTCTGTGTATAACATCAGGGACAAACAAATCCTAAAATAGGTAACAATACAAAAGAAACTATACAACAAGAGAATAAGTCTGTCAGGTAAAGGAAACACAGACAACATATTGTTTCTCAAACATGCCTGACAATAAGATTTTCTTGGGGCTATGTTGATTAGAATCCAGAGACAATTGCTAATCTATACAAGGTACTCTTTAAATAGTGAATTACTGAACTTTTCTTTTAAGAACTGCTGAAAAGGAACAAACTTGTCTAGATATTAGCCTCCTCTTTTTTATTTCTGCCTGTACGCCAAAGGAGATTCCAAAAGCAATGTAAAACTGCAGGTGTAAGGTGATGAGACCAAGCCATATATACATAGTCTAGTAACAGAAAAACAGTACTGGAATAATCTCAACCTTTCTCTAAAACTACATATCTGTACAATATCATATTCACTTTTTAGGAAATAGTCAATAGCATTAGTTTTCGTTTTTCTATCTCTTCCAACGTTACCAGTTTCCTTTATTATTTCCCACAATTGTTTTCCTATTATTACCATGCATCCATGAATCAATTCTGTCATCATTTCTAAATAACAGAATTGGGTTCTAAACCTTATGACTGACCATTAAAATTAAGAAGTGAACATCTCTGCCTATATAGTAAAAAGCAAATACAATGATTCAACCCAGTATAAAGTATGAAGCTTAAAATTTATCTTCACCCTGAAATTACAATAGCAGAAGTCACTCAGCCCTATTTTACAAAGCGGACAATATTATGTGCATTTTTAAAGTAAGGGTTAAGGACCCAGAGGATCATAACAGTAGTTCCAGGTAGGTTACAAAAGCTACTAATTAAGAGCCAGTGGAATAAAAGGCTAATGTGGTCCTATTTGCTTTAGCCCAGCTCATCTACAATCCAAATTAGTTTTAGAAGCCCACACTAAGGAAAACCAAATAAATTATTAGCATCTCCTAATCCACATGCAAGTCAGTTACCATGGCTTTGCCTGTGCTCATCGGCTCTGAGGTGTATTTTTATGACTTGCTGAGTTCAGTTTTATCAGCTCTTGGGGAAATTTACAAAACTAAATTGTTTCAGTAAACACACATGGACTCTCACCTATGACTAAGTTTCTTATTCCATAGCTATAATAAATAAGATGAGATTCAAGCAGACAATTAATGCCTACTCTGGACTTAAAAACAATACAAGAATGTGTTACAGCATACAGACAAAAGCTCATGACTTGTGGTCCTGGCTCTTTTCAATGATGTACTCGAGTCCTGATTTCTTCAACGTTTAGACCTTTGTAAAAGTATGGACAAACATACACTAAATAGAATAAATTTTGTAGATAGTTTAAGTCAGAATCCTAGTTTACTTAAATGTTTGTATAAGAAATCTTTCACTTTTTATTTGAAAGAACACTGCAATCTATAAACATCTACAGTAATAGTTAAAAAGTAGGTAAGAACTTTTAGAAAATGAGCCTTAAACACAAAATATATATACTTGGTCTATGATACATGCGAGA